TACTGAAGAAAATACTTCCTTAAAAATTAGAATAGAGCAATTGGAAGATAGTGACTTTATGGGAAATCAGACACAGTAGAACAAATCCAAAAGAATGAAAAATTAGAAAACAATGTGAAATATCTCATTGGAAAAACAACTGACCTGGAAAATAGATCCAGGAGAGAGAATTTAAAAATTATTGGACTATCTGAAAGCCATGATCAAAAAAAGAGCCTAGACATCATCTTTCAAGAAATTATCAAGGAAAACTGCCCTGATTATTAGAACCAGAGGGCAAAATAGAAATTGAAAGAATCCACAGATCTCCTCCTGAAAGAGATCCCCAAAGGAAAACTCCTAGGAATATTATAGCCAAATTCCAGAGTTCCCAGGTCAAGGAGAAAATATTACAAGCTGCCAGAAGGAAACAGTTCAAGTACTGTGGAAACACAATCAGGATAACACAAGATTTAGCAGCTTCTACATTAAAGGACCACAGGCCATGGAATATACTATTCTGGAGGGCAAAGGAGATAGGATTACAACCAAGAATCACCTACCCAGCAAAACTGAGTATAATCCTTCAGGGGAAAAAATGGTCATTCAGTGAAACAGAGGACTTTCAAGCATTCTTGATGAAAAGACCGGAGCTGAATAGAAAATTTGACTTTGAAATACAGGGCTCAAGTGGAACATGAAGAGGTAAACAGGAAAGAGAAATCATAAAAGACTTATTAAGATTGAACTGTTTACATTCCTGCATGGAAAGATGATATTTATAACTCATGAGACCTTTGTCAGTATTAGGGTAGTTAGAGGAAAAAAATTATATGTATGTATATGTAGATAGATCGATAGAGGGCACAGGGTGAGTTGAAGATTAAGGGGTCATATCTGGAGAATAAAATCAAGTGATGAAAGAGGATTATACTTGGAGAAGAAGAAAGGGGGAGGTAGAATGGGGTAAATTATCTCACAAAAAAAAAAACAGAAAAGTCTCTTACAGTGGAGGGGAAGCAGGGGAAGGTGAGAGGGAATGAGTGAATCTTATTCTCATAGCATTTGGCTTAATGAGGGAATAACATACACATTCAATTGGGTATGGAGAGCAGGGGGATGATAGAGAGGAGGGCAGATTGGGAAAGGGGGTAATCAGAAGTAAATACATCTGAGGAGGGACAGGGTCAAAAGAAAGAAAAGAATAAATGGGAGGGCAGGATGGGATTAAGGGAAATAGAGTTAGTTTTTCACAACATGTCTACTATGGACGTGTTTTGCATAAGTGCACATGTACAACCTATATGGAGTTGCTTGCCTTTTCAATGAGGGTGGGTGGGAAGGGAGGAAGAGAGAAAATTTGAAACCTAAAGTTTTAAAAACATATCTTTACAGACTAGGGGAAGGGATATTCAGAATGCATGCCATCTTGGGGTGGGGGGAGGGGGGAGATGGGGTGAAAAAAAAAAAAAGGAAATTCACCTTCCCAACTGAGTGAAAGGAAGATGGCCTGGAGTAGGGAGAGGCTTGAGGAGGGCAGCAGTGTAGGCAGGAAGCAGTGAGGGTCTGACCTGCAATGGCGGATGTGCCAATGGAGAGTGGGTGAGGGAATCTACATCCCTCAGAGAGTCAGTTTGCAGAACTGGCAGTGGAGTAGATATGTAGTATGAGTGAGGGGGAGGATTTGAGGATGCCACAGAGCTCCCAGAGCTGGGGCTGGCCTTGTCCTCCTCCTCCTCCAGCCATTCTTCCATGGCGGCCTAGGGGTCCTGCTTTATTGCGCAGCCTGACTAGGCATGTCACACAAGCTTCTCGAAGGCAAAAACGGCACCTCTCTTCTTCTTGAAGAGCCTATTTTAAATGCTTTGTAGGAAGAGATACTTACGAATTAAATGCTTTTTGTAATGAGAAACGGCCTCCCCTGCTGGAAGCCTGGCTTCCCCCATTCCTCCCCGACAGACCACACATATTGTGGCTCTCGGAAGGAATGGCCTCTTGGGGAGGGACCACCGAGCCGCCTTCCGGCTTTGAGGCCGAGTTACCTGTGCTAGCTGTAGAGAGAGCGAGGGAGGGACAGAGGGAAAGGACCAAGAGGAATTCTCTGTGAAGAACCCGAATGTCCTTTAGTCTTACCTTGTGCAGGGACACGATGGGGAGAATACTCAGGTGTTTTGGCTGCTCTCTGGAGAGAGCCAGAGGCAGAATGGAGGGGGTCAGTGGAGGCCTCAGTTCTTGGCAGATCCCCTCCCTCCCCAGGTGCTGGTTAATGGCCTTGTGTCGTTTCTGCAAGTGTTTTCACATACGCCCATCGCCTGCCCCAGAGAAGGCTGACCTAGGAGCTAGGGCTGAGTCCTGAGGATCAGCTCGATCAGCTCGTTTTTGTCTTTGCCAGATCAGTGTTCATGTAAATGCCTTCTAAATGGCTATTTATGTCTGTGTTTTATTGTTAGATATACCAGTCATATGTTGCTTAGCCATTGACTATTCACTTGATGTGTTTTTAAGCCTGATGTCCCATGGATAGAAGCCTGTCCTGGAGTTAGGAAGGCTTGAGTTCAAATCCAACCTTAGATACTTACCAGCAAGTCACTTCACCACTACCTGCCTCAATTTCCTTGTCTGTGAAATGGGAACAAAAATAGCATCTATCTCCCAGGGTTGTTTTGAGGATCAAATGAAATAATATGTGTAAAGTGCCCAGCGCGGTGCCTGACATATAATAGGCACTGTATAAGTTTTAGTATACACACACACACACACACACACACACACATCAAAATATGTACATGTATATAGAAATGAGAGCAAAAGCTTGTGGTAAAAGATTTCTCCAATTTATTGAATAATATTTAATAAACTAGGTGGGGCTCAGACTGAATTGGTAACTAGTAAAATAAATTTTGTCATCTTAGTAACTTATGAGAAAATGTCAACATAGATCTTAATTGCCTTAGAGCCCTGGATCAATCAGTCTGTCAGCTGTAAGCATTTATTAAGAGCCCACTGTGTGCCAGGCCCTGAGCTCGATAGGGGATGCAGACCAGAGAATGAGGTGTCCACCACCACCCTGGAGCTTGCCTTGTCCCCGGAAAGATGCCGTGTGCTTAAGTAAACGGCAGGTACAGAACAAATACAGCACTTTGAGGTAGTTGAATGTCTGCTACCTGGCAGTCCCTGGCAGGTGAGAGACGCAGGAGAGGTGCCGAGGAGACGCTGGAGTTGCTGATTGGGAGAGCGGGAGGGGGCGTTCTGTGTACCTGGAGCCGCCATCCACCTGGAACCGATTCTATGTCTACTTTTCTTTCAGTTAATCCAGTGACTTTGGATGTGTTCTGTTGTAGGGAAGGGAGGGCATCCAGAAGCCGTGGCCTTCTCACCTAGAACACGCCCAATAGATGCACAGGCCCATGTGTGCAAGGTGGGAGGGAAGCCCCTTGTCAGCCTTGCCAAGGCTCCCCTCGGGAAAGCACATGGAGGGTACCTCATCCAGCCTGCCCTCCCCTCTGGCCCTCCCACCAGGGTGCCAGCCCCCCCAAACCCCAGCCTGCAGTCTGCTCTTACTGCGTGACTGTTGATTCTGGAGGACGGAGGGCTGCTGTTGTTGGGGAACCAAGTGACAGTGGAAGAGGAAGCTCCCCCAACCCCCAGGCCCCAGGCATGGCCCACTTTTCCGTCTGTCTGCCCTTCCTTCTGCTTCTCCAGGTCTATGGCAGCTTCCTCGTGGGGCCACGTGGGGTGGTGCCCCTCACTTCAGGTTATCCCATCTCCTCTAAATTCTTGAAACACACAAATGTTAGAGAAAAGATGAATTTCACAAATTGTGTATTTGTGTCTCTGGTCTTTATGACAGTAACTGCAGACCCTGCCACTGACATCACTACTTGTGTACATGGCAGCTGGGTGGCACAATGGGTAGATAAACTGCCAGGTCTAGAGTCAGGAAGACTCATCTTTTCAAGTTCAAATCTGGCCTCAGAGACACTTACCAGCTGTGTGACCCTGGGTGAGTCACGTCACCCTGTTTGCCTCAGTTTCCTCATCTGTAAAATGAGCTGGAGAAGGAAATGGCAAACCACGCCAGTGTCTTGGCCGAGGAACCCCAAATGGGGTCAAGGAGGGCTGGACAGGAGTGAAATGACTGAACGACACCCACATACCACCTCAGTGAACAAGCCCGGACCAGGCACTTGTCCATCTGTGTGTCTGTTTCCTCCCCAGGACTCGTCCTCTAGATTCCGGGTGAGCCCTGGTCCTCCCCAGTGGGGAGTGTCTCCCCTGGAGTTCCTCGCCTCTCTGTGTGCGTCCTAGTCACTGAGAGTAGTAATGGTCCATTTAAGTGAATTGGACACGTGTTTGCATTTTTTTTTCACATTTTCCCACGTGGAGGGAGCTCCCATCCCAGTCTTCATCGACGCTGTCCCCTCGTTTTCACCCAGCCTCCGTTATGCCAAACTGGAGCCACTTTTCACATTTTTAAATTTTATTCAAGGACGTTTCCAGGTAGACTCTAGTGAAGGGTCATTTCTTAGAAGGCGGCAGGAAGGCTTTGGAGAGCCCTAGCTGAGAGCATTGCTGAGCAGGGAAGGAGCTCCTTTTTTGGTGTGCTGCCCTCTTGTGGCACCATCGTCAGCCATTCCCCTTTGTCCTTGTTGGATTAGTGGCCAGGACGTTCAGAGGTTCCAGGTCTGCTTTGTGGAGGCCGATGCTGCAGCCGAGACGAGGGCTTGTGGCTCCAGGGTCACGTTGAGCTCAGAAGTTTTGGCATTTGGTTTTCTACCAGGTGCATCTGCCAGAACGGCCCGCAGGTCCCAGCCCCTCTCCTAGACTAACAGCCCAGCCATGGCCCCTGCGAGGGATGGGGAGGTGGCCTCCAAGGGGGAGTCAGCTCTCTCTCTCTGTACTTCAAAGCCAAGTGGAAATGGTGGTTAGCCGGCTTCCTAGAAGCTGCCCGCCGCTGCTGCTGTCGGTGTGGAGGGCGAGCTGGAATGTGGCACTCATGGTGCCCTGTGCTCTGGTCCTAGGTTCTCCGCTCCCTCTTGCTGTTTCCAACAATAGAGAGAATCGCTAAAACGCCCAACGGTCAGCTGGCGACTCCTCTCCTCTGCTGGCTGCGCTACGCCCTTTACGTGCCCATCTACATCGGACTCAGCCTGCTCCCAGCAAGAGTCCAGGCCATCTTGGCCAATCTGATTCTTCAGAGCCTGAAGATGGAGAATGCAGTCACATCCCGGCATGTAATGAATTCGGTTAACATGGACTGCATTGGTGAGCAGATTATAAAGGGTTTTTGTTGTTGTTATGTAGTGTGGGGGCGGGGCACTGGGTGGTGAGGGACAGATGGGAGCAAAGAGAAGTCAACCCTAAAACACCCCACCCTCCTCCATGCGCCACACACTCCTTCCTCGGTTAAACCCCCTCCCAAACCAGCGGCAGCCCAGAGGGAGTACCGGGGAATCCATCTAGAGCTCTGCTCCCCCTCCAGGGTAGCGAAAAACAGGCTGGACGGGGTCTGGAGTCAGGAGGGCCAGAGCTGCGGCCCATCCTATCCCGTCCTGGCTGTGTGACCCCCGCATAATCCCCACCTCGTGGGGTTCTGGGCAGCTCTTCAGGACAGTGAGTCCCATCAGACTGCCTTGATAGCAGCGCTTCCTCGCCGAGCACACAGACGCCAGTGAAAATGCCCAGGCCAATCCTTCTCGCTCCCTGCGTATTAACACTCAGCACGTGGTCGCATGGCACGGGAAGAGATGGAGACCCTGACTCCAGGACGCACTCGCTGAGTAGAGGCCAGAACCCAGGCCCTGCCCTCCAGGAGCTGACACTTTACCAGGGGACAACAGGCACCTCTGATAGTCAGGGAGCCCCTAGTAAGTACCTGCTGAATCCCAGGCATTAGAGCTGCAGGTAAAACCGTGGAGCTTCTGGGGGAGCTTGGCAAAAAGGGCATTTTCTGAAGAAAAGCAGACTTTTCTCATAGACTTTCTAGGTTTTAATTTCCAGGGGAAAGAACAGCCAACTCACCTCAAAAGTAGCAGCAGAGGAAATATTCCACGTAATTCACAGAAACCGATTTCTTCCATTCGTCACGGTCCCAGCTGTCTGCCTCCAAACAGAATGGCTTTCTAGCCAGGGAAGGCAGTGAGCTCCCTGTGAAGGGCTTCAAGCCCAGGCCAGAGGCGGGTCAGGGTCTTGTTCATATATGTGTGACATCATCCCTTCTCTCTCCTCCCTTTTGTGGCTAAGTTTGAGGCTCTCCTCCATCAGTGTCGCCCCTGCAGTCTGACTTCTGACCTCGCTGGTCCACCAGCCCGGCGATCTCTTAGCAGCCAAATCCATCAGCTTCTTCTCAGTCTGCGTCCTTCCTGACCTCTGCAGCCTTGCAGGTGGCTGGTCACTCTCAGATCTCCCAGTTCTCTTCCAGACCATGCCCACTAACCCTGGGGATCCTCAGGATCTTGTCCTGGGCCCACTCTCTTCTCCTCGGGGGTCTCATCAGCCCCCAGGGATTTTGTTGTCATCTCTGTGAAGATGGTTCTGGGGCTGTTTATGCAGCCTTGACCTTTCTGCTGACCTCCAGTCCTGCATGTCCACCTGCCGTGACCTGCACAAGAGCAAATGCTAGGGGGAGGGGGACTGGCCTCCGTCCCCTCTGTAACAGACAGGAGGCCCGTCGCAGGTGCTTTCTCGCGCTGGTCCTCCTGGGTAATGGAGGTCAGCTTGGGCGACACCCAACCTCTTCCTAGCAGAGTTGGCCCTGTCCCTTTGGGGGCCGCAAGAGCCGTGGTATTTAGAAAGGTCTGTACTTGAACAAATGAGATTTTCATTCAGTTGATTTCTCACAGCATCTTTGTCACCAAACTTGTGAATGTGTCTCACCACATGTCTTTGGGGTGGGAAATACTGACGTCATTCTCCCAGTGTGAAGTGGGGCCTTAAAGCCTCTAATGATGTTACAGGACATGGGGTCCTTCAACTATCCAGCCAGCGTGGCCTGGGAGCCCTCAGGGGCCTCCACTCACTGTCCTCCTGGATGACTCATCCCGCATCCGAAAAAAAGGTCCCCTGTAAGACTGAAGGGGCTGCTAGGGGTGCCATAGTATACAGAGCGCTGGAATCAAGAAGACTCATCTCTGAGTTCAAATCAAGCCTCAGACACTGACTAGCTGTGTGACCCTGGGAAAGTCACTTCACCTTGCCTCAGTTTCCTCATCTGTAAAATGAGCTGGAGAAGGAAATGGCAAACCCCTCCAGTATCTTTGCCAAGAAAATGTCAAATGAGTCAGGAAGATCCAGCATGACCAAAAAACAACAGAGCAACAAAGGGGAGACTGAGGGAGGCATTATGGGCTACTGTGTAGAACAAGGCCCCCGCTGGAGCTGCGCACATCCCCCCCTCCTCCCTCATGGGCCAACCTCCCTTACCAGGAGTCCTTTTGTCCTTCTGCACTTTTCCAGTCCCCAGTGGTGTTGCTGGAATCTAAGCCTTAACCTTGAGAAAACATCCGACTTTCACCCTCAGCATGACTCTGTTGCATACACTTGCTTTTCTGCTTGCCCAGAAGCCCCAGCTGCTGGGGCTGGCCTTTGTACTCTGGGCAGCAGAAGGACCATCTGGGATAATTTTGTATGAGAAGCAGATTTGTGGTCACTGCTGGCGTCCCCAGATCAAGCCCACTTGCTTGAGCCCCAGGTGTGAGTGGATACTGAGCTGGTGCCAGAACCACCCCAGAGATGCCACCCCAGTCCCTACTGCTCCTGCCCTCCCAGCCCCCTCAGCCTGATCTGCTTCCGGCGCTCACTCACGTAGAATTTCCAAGGTTGCTGTTGGCAGTGATGGCCGAGACAAAATGTTTTCCTCTTAGGAAATGACACTCCTGTTTGGCATTCTTATTTCTTACCGCCCTGTAAGGAGCTTTTCCACAGAATGACAGAGATGACCTCCTCAGGAGCAAAGGCTAAATTGGAAAGGAAACTTCTGTTTGAGTCCTGAAGAACCTGACCCCAAAATGGGCAAATTCCTAGGAAAACACGTCCTTCCAGAAGCTAGTGGCTGACTTCTCTCAGCGGGGGCAAAGATACATCTCAGTTGGATTCCCCTGGAGCTGGCAGTGACAGACTCACCCTCTGATGGGGCCAAGAAGACATCGATGGCCTTGGAGTGTGACTCCTCCAAGAAAGAAAAACTGATTTTGTGTTAGAAGCCCCACGGTTTTTAATGGTCACTACCCTGTGGGCCTCTGAAATCTCCCTGACAGAGTTCCAGATGGAAGGGGCAGCCAGGTGCCGCAGTGGATAGAGCTCTGGCCTTGGAATCAGGAGGACCTGAGTTCAAATCTGGCCTCAGACACTTGACACTTACTAGCTGTGTGACCCTGGGCAAGTCACTTAACCCCAATTGCCTCACAAACTTAAAAAAAAAAAAGAATTCCAGACAGAAGGAAAGGAGACAAAGAGAGTCCCCCTAGCCTAGTAACAGCTACGGGCTTTTCTGGGTCAGTCCTGTCCTCCAGAGAGGGATATTTTGGGTTATGGAGGTTGTCCTTAGGGTTTGGCCAGAGTTTTGATGTTAGGAAAAGCCTCACAGTTGGAGCTGTACTCAAGGGGGCTCTTCCTCCCTGGAGGCAGCAGGGAGGAGGAAGGGGCAGGGGTCTTGTCCAGGTAAGGCAGCTGATACCCCTGCCAGTCCTGAGGCTCTCTCTGCAGAGATTCACTTCCCTCCACTGTCTGCGTCAGAAAAATGTTGGGCCGAGGAGGTACCTGCTGGTGTCTCCCCATCCGTCCACTCCCAGCTGCTCATCACCAACCCCCTCAGTGGGACCTTTGTCCTTGCTGGAGGGTATAGCAGCCTCTGCCGCCAGTGCCTGGATCTGGGAGGAACCCAGGAGAGACAGGGAGAAGGGGAGTGTTGTTGACAAGATGGAAATCTGAATGCCTCTCTCCAAAAATGTTCGTTGTCCAAAGTTCCTTCCTCTCAAGACTGCCGCAATGGGTTCTAGAGAGCTAGCTTGGGACCTGGGTTCAGGTCCAGTCTTCTGTTCCTTGTCCCATCGCCTCCACCAGCTCTCTGAGGCCTTACATTGTAGGAGAGGTACAGACCTCCACTAGTGAAGGGCATTTATTTGATGGGAGTTCTCTACCCCAGTGCAGTCGCAGCTCTGGACTGACTCCAGTTCCTTGACAGAAATTGCATTCTGGGTTTGAAGGAGCTAGCAATGGGAGAGACGAGGGATCCCAGACTCAAGCTGAAGGAAATAAAGAGTAAATGAGGGAGAGAAATGAAGGCCTCCAGATGTGGCTGGCCTTAATTGTCTCCTCTTAGAGGTGCCTGCTTTGTAGAGACCTTGGCCTCAGTCTCCTCCTCCATCCAATAAGAAGTCCTGGTGCCAGGCGCTGTGGTCTATCTATTGCTTCTCTACCAGAGGGCTGGAATCATTCGAGACAGCCAGGAGTAAGGGTGGGTAGTGGCTGTGGAGACAAGGTCAGGAGCATCGAGCCTGGGGTTAGGACAACCCGAGGTCAGATCCAGCTCTTAACTGACACTTGTTCACTTGACTTGATGTGAAACAACACATCCACAGATTAGCATGTGCAGGATATATACCAAGTAAACACAGCCGCGTTTCACGTGGAGAGCACCAGCTGTCGGAGCGTCAGGAGAGCTCTCTTGTAGGCAGGGTGGGTGTCCCTGAGCTGGGCTCCTTTTGTAGACGGCCCTTAGTCCTCCCCATTGGCCCTCAGGACTTCCGGTGGACGTGCTTGTTCCCAAAGCCGTGGAATAGGCCACAGGGAAAGAGGGGAGAGGACCCATTAAAAGGATCCCATTAAGTGAGGAAACTCGGGAACCCAGGGAAAAAAGCACAGTTGGAGAGCACTTGGGGAAAGAGCCAAAGAAGCAGGAGTGAAGTGTGTCCTCTCCGGGCCTTAGCTGCAGCCCTGCCCTCTGCCTTTCCCTCCTCCCTCTGAGACTTGCCCTCTTAGCCCGAGTAGATCTTATTGATAAGAGAGCCACAGGCACGATGCTCCCCATTGGACTGAGCTCCTGGAGGGCAGGGGCTGTTCTGCCTTTCTTTTCGTCCCTAGGCTTAATGGTCCCCCAGCACACAGTAGGCACTACATAAATGCTAGTTAACTGACAGTCTCCTGATGACAGAGTCCGAATGCAGCGTAAAATGTCTGTTCTTTGGTTACGGCTAAGGTAAGAATTTGTTTGGTTTGACTATGCACCCAAATGGAAGGGAGAGACAATCAATGTCACTGAAAAAAGT